TTCCTGTCGCCGCAGCTATTCCGAAACGCCCGTTTCACCCCCACCCCCACCCCGCCCGCCCGCTTCAATCCACAGTGTCCCGTTCTGCCTGCCTGCCTGCCTGCCTTAGTTTCTGGTTGTTTGGGAGCAGCTTCGGCTGAGAATAATAACTATTCGCCTCTTTTACTCAGCCGAAGCTGTTCCGATTCAACCATTAACGAAGGCAGGCAGGCAGGCAGAACGGAGCACTGGGTTGAACCCCGCGCGCGGGCGGGCGGGCGCGCGGGCGGGCGGACGGGGTGGGGGTGGGGGAGAAACGGGCGCTTCGGCGACAGGAAAAGCCCCCCCCCCCTGCTTCTTTGAAGCAGTTTCTTCCTGGGCTGGTGGAGGAGCGAGAGAGCGACTGAGAGAGCTGACCCAGAGAGAAGGACAGGCTTCGGTTGCTTCCTCCCTCCCCTTCTTTCATTTGTGTCCTTGATCCCTGATCCCAGCAGCATTCACCGAAGGTGAAGAAAGCCGCCATTTTTAAAAAAAAAAATTATTTGCGGCCCGGTAGAGAGTGCTCCGCGGCCCGGTACCGGTCCGCGGCCCGGTGGTTGGGGACCCCTGCTTTAACTGATCAGGCAATTCAACATCCCACATATATGTTGTAATGACAAGGCAGTCGAGGTGTTTGATCATGATCAAATGAATCATGATGAACTTTATTGGAGTCTAGTCTTGCATTTATACACATTTTTAGTAATCCTCTAACATTGGTTAACTTTGGTTATTTCTTAACTTTCGTTACTGTTTAGCATAGTAATTAACACAATTAATTATCTCTAGTTAAAATCTAACATATGTTTACTTCCTCTCTCTAATCATCCTTTACATTAATGACTTTGTTTGCCTGAGTTGTATTTGCTCTGTAAACATTCATTATCTGAGGTTTGCCATCAGATAGGAACATTCCTGCAATTACAACTCTACACATATCTGTGCAAATTTTTTATGCCTTTGAATGGAAAAGTGTTACCATTCAAGCTGTTGCCTGCTTAGCTGACAGCTGCATGTGCTTTTCAAATGTGTTGCAGGCCTCTGATTTCTCTTAAGACTCCTGAGAAACACAGAATAGCACAGCTCTGCTCTCTCTTTTCACAGGAGGAAGAGGATGTCTAGCAGCCCCCTTTCCAATTAACAGATTAGCAGATTATATTCAAAGGCATCAGCTTTCGTGAGCTGCAGCTCAACTTCCTCAGAGTATGAAAAGGACAACTGACAAAAGCTGATGCCTTTGAATCAAATAGATTAGACAGAAAATTCCTGATTTATTTTTTTTACCCCTGTTAGACCAACTTGGTTCACCACCTACAGTGGTATTTCTCAAACTGGAAAACTTTAAGACACGTGGGCTTCAACACCCAGAAATCTATGCCGGCTGGGGATTTCTGGAAGTTGAAATCTACATGTTTTAAAGTTGCCCAGTTTGAGAAACATTAATGTACAAGAAAAGGAAGTAGCCTTGAGGAAACCTCCTTTTTTTCAGTACTCCACCATTGCCTCTTTATTGCTGAAATTTGTCCCCAAATAGTTCCCAGGATAGAAGGACAGCAATGCAAATTCTGACATTGATCTAGCTTGTTTTCCGCCTATTAAAAAGGATCAGGATTGAAAGGAAGAAGAAATATGTTCACAAGTTTAGGCTGGGTCCATCGATCTGAAAAATCTCCCATTCCTCCCTGGTTTGTTCTTTAATTGTCCTGTTCTTGGATTTGGTAGATGCCTAAAATAGATAACAAACATAAATATTGTCAGTAGATTTGACAAATGTCTTTTCTCATGAGTTGAACCGACTGGAATCCTGCCAGTCCCTAATTTTCTCCCCTCCTTATCTAGGATGGTTTGGCGTGGTCTTCAGCATGTTATCATTTCTGTTCTTCACTGATATGTGTATTTACTGGATCCATCGGATTCTCCACCACAAGCTCTTATATAAGGTAAGGTTTATAACTTCCTGGCAAGATCATTTTGGGAAGAAGAAGGTGTCACCTGGAATGTGCATGACTGAAGCAATATGCTGATCGATATCGGCAAGAGCAAGCAGGACAGCACTCGTGTTTGGATGAATGTTCCTAGCTTGGCTAGAGACAACATTCCAGGGTTTTAGCACAACGTTTCTCAACCGTGGCAACTTCCATGCTTGAACTCACTGAGAAATGCAGGTTTAGCAGATTGAGATCAGTCCTCTAGTCTTTGAGCCGGTCTGTTGTGGAACATTTTGTTCCCCAATGTGGTTTCTTCCACAGTACTGAACTTAGTTCTGTCCTTATAAGAGATGGCGGGGTAACACTGGTGAAATTCACAATAGACATCGTGTTGTGGCTTGTTGGCCGCCAGCCCCTTCAACAGCTAAATCAAAGGAGGAGGAGGAGGAGGAGGCAGTGGCGGCGTGGGGGTCAGGGTTGGCAACAAGGCAACCTGAGGGCTCCAAGGGGAAGAGGGAATGGAGCTGACCGGGGGGGGGGGGGGGGGGCAGAGCCTAGGCCATCCGTCAGCTCTCAGGTGGCGAGTCAACAGCCCCCAGGTCTGGAGGTGGCTGATGAGGAAGAGGAGGAATAACTGGGTCCAGTGCCTGACGTGCGGATGCGCAGAAATCAGAGGAGAGCAATGGAAATCTATGGGCTGGTCCTTGGGAATGAAGAGCCACCGCTGCTAGTGAGGCCCCACCCTAGATCTGGGGATGAAAGGCAGAGGGCGGAGATTAATAGATATGGCAGACAACTAATTCGTCTTCTGGTCGGACTTGGTAGCCAGCATTGAGAGAGGGCCAGCATTTTGCCAGGGCTGCCAGCACTCCTAATAAAGACATCTTTTGAGTTCACTTCAGAGAGTTTGTCTGGTTTGGGGAACTGGGTCAGAACACACTGCAAATCGGTTGAGGATTGTCCAAAACAGATAGTCCTGGGTTTACCATTTGTTCAGCGATGGTTCGAAGTTGGCACTGAAAAAAGTGACTTACAACTGGTCCTCATGCTTAGGACTATCCCAGCATTCCCCAACTGATGTAATCAAAATCCGGGTGCTTGGAAACCGGCCTGTCCTTCTGAGGGTTACAGTGATTTGCTTAACTGTGGCAAAAACGATGGTAAAATCAGGCACGGCTCCCTTAACAGCCATCTTGTTCAGCAGTGGAAATTCTAGCTGCGGTCCTAAGTTGAGGATCCCCTGCAAGCTATTTTTGTCGCCGGTGGAGACCTCAGCCAAAGGAAGTGAAAATGTCATGATCGTTCTCTAATGATCTGATTCTTTTCTCTCTTCCACAGCGTTTCCACAAGCCTCATCACACGTGGAAGATCACAACTCCGTTTGCCAGCCATGCTTTTCACCCCCTGGATGGTTTTCTTCAGAGTGTCCCTTATCATATCTACCCGTTCCTTTTTCCTCTTCACAAAGTGACCTATTTGGGCCTCTATGTCTTCGTCAACATCTGGTCAATCTCCATTCACGACGGAGACTATCGCGTTCCCCATCTGCTGAAACCCATCATCAACGGAGCTGCCCATCACACGGACCACCACTTGTACTTTGAATACAATTACGGCCAATACTTCACCCTCTGGGATAGAATTGGGGGCTCCTACAAAAACCCCTCTTCTTTTGAAGGCCAGGGCCCCCACGTGTATTTGAAAAAGCTGGCAAACCGCCACGAGGATAAGGAACTACCAGGAGACCACGGAGCGAAAAATAAATAGCAATATCCCTCCCAACTGAAGGATGAGGAACCTCTATGCCTTATGAACTGCATAACCGGAAGTCAATCCCTTCTCCATCCATTAGCTTTCAAAATGGAAATATTTGGCACCCAACATTCCAGGATGAGAAGACAGAATATGTGGGTTCACAGCAGAGCAGTCTCTTGGATGTTGAGCAGGAGAAAGCATCCATGAATTTCCCTGTTGCCATTAGAATGAATTAGGAAGTGGTCAGTGCTGCTCTGAAGTCCATCCTCAGCAGATGTTCAAAGGCAACTTTCAGCAACACCTTGTACGTTGTTGCTGTGCAGTCAGTTATGAATGCCTGCTGTTCCACCAGTGTTTGGGTTTGGTGTGAAGGAATGGATTCCTTAATTGTTTCCATTGTGTAATTACCCTCCTAAAATGCATATTGCAGCGCACTTTAGTCTTAACAGGCGAATTGGTTGGGGGAATTTCTGAAGTCCTTAGAATAACAGAGTTGGAAGGGACCTTGGAGATCTTCTAGTCCAACCCCCTGTTTAGGCAGGAAACCCTATACCCCCTCAGACAAATGGTTATCCAGGACACCTTCACATCAATTACAAAATGATGTGATGTATATCAAAGTATCAACATCCAGACTATGCCAAATTGCAACAGAACATTCAAAGTGCAGTCAAGGTTTAGACCAGGTTTTCTCAACCTTGTCAAATTTAAGACATGTGGATTTTAACTCCCAGAATTGCCCGGCCAGCATACTGTTGACAAGATTGAGAAATAGTGGTCTAGAATATCAAGGTTTCATTGAACACACGTTGAATGATCTGTAAGATAAGGAGCTGTCATGCCAAGCATGATAAATAAAATAAAAGATGTTATCTGAAGCAAGGCAGGAATAAAACACAGGAACCTAGCTTATTACTCCTTCAAAGTCCCTGTTTTACAAAGGAATCTCTGTGTTTATGTGTGTTTCTAATTCATTTTGTAACCAGCAAATTTCAAACTTCTATGGTGAAGTGTTTGGCAACAGGAAAAGGTTGTAATTTTAATCAGACCAGGGGCATCCAACTTGCAAGCTCTAAGACCTGTGGACTTCAGCTCCCAGAATCCCCTTTGCTGGCTGCCAAGGTTGGACACCTCTGCTTGTAGACTAAGATTACCTTTGTGGAGGTAGATACCTTTTGGAATCTTTCATTATTTTACAACGTTATTTTAGAGATGCACTTTATATGTGTTATTGCTTTCCTCACAAGGTTCCATCTGCCATTAAAAATATCAGTTGGATTTAGCCCTGCTGGCTAGTCATTATGGGAGATGGAGTCCAGATGGAAGAAGGGTATTATAAATCATTGCTTTGGTTTTTCTGCTCTTTAGCATGTATTACTTCAAACACTAAAATTATTTCCTCCAACAAATAAGAGTAAATATTATTGCTTTGATAAAAATAAATGCAAATAATTCAGGAGATAATGTGAAAAAAATGTTCTGATAGGATTTTTTTTACTGTATGTAGGATATCCTATCATTTCTTAACCCCCCCCCCCCCAAAAAAAAAAAATTAGACAGTCTGTGGAAATTGTCTTCTCTTTAATAATGTTTTTAAAAGATTGAAAGTTATGAAGTATGGTTATTGAGTGCGCAAAATCAATGTTTGTAAATTTTAAAAAGTGGAGATGGTATATCTATATATGTATATTGTATGGTAGATTTATTTAGTTTATTGGTTCTGATGTTTTCTGGTGATGAAATCATTAAAATAATTTCTCTGTGAATAGTTTTTAATAAAACGGGCAGTTTGGTGTAGTGCATGAGTGTCCAACCTTGGCAACTTAAGACTTGAATTCCAGAATTCCCCAGTCAGCATCTTTAAGACCTATGGACTTCAACTCCCAGAATTCCCCAGTCAGCATGGCTGGCTGGGGAATTCTGGGAGTTGAAGTCCACAGGTCTTAAAATTGCCATGGTTTGGATACCCTAGTGAAGTGGTTAAGGCATTCAACTAGAAACTGAGAGTTCTAGTCCTGCCTTTGGCACAAAGCCACTGGATAGACAGTTTCTAAAGAATCCGACACGATTGAATGGAAGGGGAAAAAACATTAATAACCATATAAGCGGCATCTCAGCCACATCTACCATAACACATTCCACCCTCCTGAGTTTGCTTGTCAAGTCAAATTCTCTTCTTTGTTGTGGTCATATTGCAGCTGCCTGCCTTCGGGATATAATTCCATTTTTCTGCCTAGCCTGTGAGGCTAAGATTTCCTTTGGCATTCCCATCCAAGTGACAAGCCTGATCCTGCTTAGCTTCTACAGCCAGAGCAAATCAACTCAATGCGGTCACTTAAGAGGTCTCCAGATCAGCATTTCTCAGCTTTTAAGTCGTGTGGACTTCCTCTCCCAGAATTCCTTGTGCTGATTTGGGAATTCTGAGAGTTGAAGTGCACACATCTTAAAAGTTGTTGAGGTAGAGAAATGCTGATCTGGGACCTTGTACCTCTCATTAACGAGTGTGCATATTGTTATGTAAGGAATTTTTAAAATATACACATTTAACAAAAAAAAAATGAAAAATTTATTGAACTCTATTGGCACATACTGTATGTAAAAATTTTAAATTGAGATCATAAATGGATTCACAATTTGAAAATCATAACAATTTGACTTTGGAGTTTAATTTTGGAGTAGTTGGGTGATGAATAAACTAATCACATGGCCTATTTAGGGAATTAAAGCCAAATAAATCATAATCATTTTATGTTTATGAAACCAGAAGGTAATGCCCCATTATGTACAAAACTCTTTTAATTCTGCAGAATTTCCACAGGACTATTTTAGAATAAATCAATGTTTATTTTGGAAGAGATACTAAGCCCTCATGTGTCTACTTTGATTTCAGGCTGATCTTGGGATGAATCTGATCACTGGGGTTTAAAACCCCTGATTTATGGCTCCATAGCTTGTATGATTCAAGATATTTGAAGTTTTTGCAAGTTGTAAGGATTTGATGACAGCCACAAAATTTAAAAAAAAAAGGATAGACTTCCTTTGCTTGAATTTATAAGCTATAAAGTTGTAGGTGAGAGTTGCCTTCATTTAATAGTGTAAAGTAAAAAAAAACATATAAGAATAACTCCTTGTAAAGAAGAAGTGATATATGGTGTGATAATTGAGATGCTGGTTAAATGCTGGGCTGGCTTCTCCATTCTCAGCCATGGAAAGTTACTGGGTGACTGGATTTTCCTTCTCCTTTTTAACCCAACCTACCTCACAGGTTTTTTTTTTCTTTGCAAGGGCAGGAAGTGTGGAAGGTGATGAGTTGAAGGAAAGACAGTAAATAAATCCAACCACTAAAAAATAAATAGAATAAAAATATTTTTTTAAAAAGATCAAAGAAGTGGGGGAGAGAGAGACACACACACAGAGAGAAACATTATTCTACCACTGAAGAGCAGAGGAATTTGTCTGAGTTTTAAAACACCCTCTGGGCTTTCAGGGCACACCACAAGAAGAAAATCCTCATTTCTTGTCTCTAAAATAAAGCAATTATGTCTTGTTTCACTAAAAAAAATGCTTTGGTCTTCCACAGCAACTGGAGTCAGATCTTGGAAAAGGTTCTACTAGAGCCAGTAGATTGCTGGGTGCTGGTGGAATGGCACAAGCTTCTGTGCTTTTTGCTCCTTTAAAACTAGACTCCATTGGAAGTCCACTACCAAAGAAGGCACCCCACCTTCCAGTTTTAATTTTTTGTAATTTTAATCCATTTTATAGTTATAATAGTTGTTATATGTTGTTCTCTCTTGATGTAAGGCCATTCAGAGTCACCTGAACCAGAAGATGGGCGAGAAAGAAAGAGAGACAGACAGACAGAACCAACGAACGAATGCATGAATGAATTACAATGTGAAGTTAGGTAGTTTTTGGTTCCAGCCTTGCCACTGAATTTAACATACAGGCAGTCCTCCACTTAACAACCACAATTGGGAGAGAATTTCCTTTGCTAAACTAAGTAGTTGTTAAGTAAGTTGTGCCTGATTTTATGACCTTTTTGATGCAGTTGTTAAGCAAATCATTAACAGTTTTTAAGTGAATCATATGATCGTTTAGCAAATCTGGGCTTTCCCCGTTGACTTTGCTTTTTGGAACCTGGCTAGGAAGGTCACAAATGGTGATCAGATGACCCCGGGATGCTACAACCATTATACATGCCAGTTGGCAAGTGTCTGTGAATTTCGATATGTGACTCTGATGGTCATAAGGGTGAGGACCAGTCATAAGTCCCTTTTTTCACTGCCATTGTAACTTCAAATGGTTACTAAATAAATAATTGTAAGTCAAGGATTACCTGTGCTTGAGTCAGGCCATAATAAATTTTGCATGGATATTTTTGCGTAACTCCAGCTAATGCAAATATGCATTTTGGAGACCCTGTTTCTTAATTATACAGCCAAAAACTATCCTGTGCTGGAGAACCCATGTTTTTGGATCATCCCTCTAAGCTTCTCTGTGTGGTGTAAGAAACAAGCACTAAGTCTGCTGTGGTTTAATTAATTTTTCCTTTGCCAACCCCAATAAGAAATCCCGACATTTTAAAAAAAATTGACCCAACACAAGCCCTGTGTTTGCATTTGAGCTCTAAATCTAAGCTGAAGGGGTAAAGTCATGTGGGTTTTTACAGCTTGTTCCCTCTCTCTGTTTCAACATAAATCCATGGTGCAAGTTATGTCCAGAGTATCAAGATGTGGTTTTGGTTTTTTATCATCTTAAGTGGATGAATAAAGTACAGTGCATGCAACTATGATATGGGATCATTACCAATTTTGGATTGCTTTAAAGCAAGAGTAGAGAAACTAGACGATCAGTGGCTGCTAATTCTGATCTTAATTAGGTTTTTTTTTATTTATATTTGTTTTATACATTTTTCTTTTACATACATAAGTGCTTTGTGAACAGTGTATTGTCTAGGTCAGTTGCTTACACATAGTAATATTTATCCAATTTTTAATCTCTACCTCTATTATCAAGCCATTGATAAAACAAGTTCCATGTTAAAAAATATTCCGTATCTTCTTTATCCTTTATCTTTAACGTCAACCTATCCATTTCTGCACAAGCTAGTATTTTTTTTAATTACACTCTCTTCTGTGGGTATTTCCTCATTTTTCCAGTGCTGTGCAAATACAGTTCTTGCTGCTGTCAGGACATGCAATATTAAGTATATATTCCCTTTATCATACTTTTCTGGAACTACACCTAACAAAAATATTTTTGGCTTATATGTATTTTTTCTAACCAGATATGCATTTTCATCCATTTTTTTTTTTTTGCCTTTGTACACGTCCGCCACATGTGAAAAAATATGCCCAGTGTCTGATTGCATTTCCAACACTTGGTGGACATGTTAATAAGTTTTGAGGTACTTTAAGGCCCAAGTTGAAGCAACATTTGAAGAGGCTGAGTACACTTCTTGACTGCCCTGGTTGTACACCGTGTCATCAAATTTGACCCTAGATAACCAATGTCCTTATCTGCGCATTGCTCTCCTTTTACTCTAACCACAGTTCACAAGTTTTATCCCCAAGACATCACGGTATTATATCTTACTCCTACTCAAAATAGTTAGTCCTTGACTGACTTGTCCTACTATTTTTCAATGTAGGTAATTCTCGACTTCCTCTAGCTCATTTAGTAAGTGTTCAAAGTTCCAACTACAGTGGAAAAAGTGACTTATGATTGTTTTTCATACTTACAGCCATTGGGGCATCCCCATATTCACAACATCAAAATTTAGACACTTGGCAATGGACTTGTATTTATGACAGTTGCAGCATCCCGACCTTCTGATGAGCAAAGCCATTGGAGAAGCCACTTAATAATTGTGTTACTAACTTAACAACTGCAGTGATTCACTGAACAAGATGGCAAGCCAGGCTGTAAAATGAGGCAAATTTCACGTCACAGCTGTCTCCCTTGCAACAGAAGTGGTCATCAGTCAAGGATTAACCGCATTGAGTAGGAATAAGATAATAATAATGCAGATTATATCATTGGTCATCAGTCAAGGACTAACTGCATTGAGTAGGAATAAGATATAATGACGCAGATCCTTTTCAGGCCAGCTTTTCAATCTTCTCTCCCACAAAGCAGAGAGAAGAAGGGATTCAAGGAATGTCTTGTTAGGAAGCTGAGCTGAAATTTTAAACATCTGACCACATGGTGGAGCCTTTGCAACAGACCGGAATTTTTTCAGTGGAAAAATAAAAAAACACATTGTGGGAGGAGCATGTTTCCCCCCCCCCCCCGGTCCTCCCCCCCCCCTCCCGTCCAAAGGAAACATTAGTGAAGGGCTTCCTATTTTTAATATTTACAAAATTGCCAATTAAATGCAATTCAGCTGTATTTTTTTTTCTTCGTTAAAAAGGGAGACCTTTAAAGGACCAAAAACTGGACACCATACAGGAGAGTTTGGTTTTTTTAAATTTATTGTAATATAAAACACAAATGAAAATACAAACCAGAAGGGAAAAAAGAGAAAAGTAAGGTAAATGTTTTTTTAAACCCCAGTGACTTTCGTCTCTTTTTGATACAGTAGTATACAAAGTATACTAAAATGAACCAAAATAACGTATACAAAGTATACAAAATATAGGAAGGAGAGAAGCAACCTAGAATTAAGGAGAAACTTCCTAACAGAACAATGAACTAATGGAGCAGCTTGCCTTCAGAGGGTTGGACTAGAAGACCTCCAAGGTCCCTTCCAGTTCTATTCTGATTGAAGTAGAGTCACAGCACCAACTTTTTGCTTTGCGTTTCTGATAGATACAAGCCATTTTGTACCACAACAAAATTAATATAATCCTCAGAATCTAAGATCAAATTTTAATTATTATTTTTTTCTGTTTCAAGCATAAAGTCCAGAAATGCAGGCGATTGCTTGAAGTTTGAGATTGCTTGCTGTCTTACTGTTCCCCTCATCTTCCCAGCCTAAACTTTCAGCCATTGTGATGTTCTCTGGTGGTTTTCAAACCAGGTTACCCAGCAGGCCCCATCCTGGTCAACCTCAATCAGATGCTGCCTCTTCTTGGGACTCTCACAGCAGCGTAGATCTAATTGCTTCCTGTGACTTAAGTTTCACCTGGGCAATGTTAACCCCACTCCAACCTTTGTTTCAATCCTAGTTCCTGGTCTGGAAATAGTTCCCCAAATAAGAGCAGGCAGTTCTTGAGTTACAAAACTGAAGAGAAGTTTTGAGCCTCTGTGGGCTTTAGGAGGAGGAGGAGAAACATCTGGCTATGGCTTCAAATGACATTTTGGAACTTGTAAAATTTGCTTTGTTGCGTTGGTCAAATTGCTACTTGTCGGAAAGCGCTTTATAGAAAGCGGTTTCTGACAAGCAGAAAGTTGTAGAAAGTTAGCACCCACCCCTCTCCTAGGAGAATGAAATATTTTGAGAAATATTTAAAAAGGCAGAATATTATATTTCCCTAAAGGAGAAACTTGCTCTTGGAAAGCACCTGTCTTAATAACCCCAGCAGGACTGAGGCAGCCTATCTACAAGACAATTAGACATTCAGCCTCAGGGTGATGGGATTAGCCCTAACTCAAGATCCAAACTAGGGCAAGGCCATTAAGACACAATAGGAATTTGCCACAGAACACAAGCTTCTTCATTGCATCATCACACTCCAAGTTTCAACCAAACCTGGGAGCTCAAGACAACTTCAGCTATGACCCCTGCATAGCCCCATGGGAGTCTAACAGCAACCAATAGAACACATGCTCTTTCCACAGGAACAGGAAGCTCAAGTTCAAAGCCTAGAGAAGGTATAAATAACCCTCATTCTCTGCTCCATGTGGTCAGCTGCC